CTTCTTCTCTCTCTCTCTCTCTCTCTCTCTCTCTCTCTTTCCTTCGCCGCCGCTCACCGCCGTCCCGCGGTGCTCTCGTTTATATCTTATATTTTGCTCTCGGGTGCTCGACGTTAAAACGGACATCCAACTTCAAGTCGCCGAAGACGTCGGAAAACACGTCCGGCCATTTTTACGTCCATCACGATCTCGTAACTCGTTTTTTTTATCCAAACGTGTCTGGAAACGACGTTTGCTCTATATTTTCTCCTGTAAAGCGCAAAAATTTCCTTATAAAGAGTGAAAATAAAAAGGAACTTTGTCGTCGTGGAAAACGATGAGACTTTCTTGTTTCCGAGCATAAATCGTATCGAACGGGAACAGAAATTTCAAACGAAAAATGAAGACAGTAAGACGAAGACTCTTCTATCGCTTTTTCTTCTTTTTCTTGTTTCTTCTAACGATAACGATTTATGTATTACGATTTATATTAACATTAATGCTGCCGATTAATCGCGGGCAATCTTGACCGGTGATAATTATTGCCTGCGACACGGATACGTTACGACCTAGCGGTTCGTTTCGACCGCTGGGCACGCGTATCCCTTATGCACGGAAACGCGATACGTGAGCCGCGTGGAGATGCCAGGGGGCCTTCGGGTAACCGGAAGAATAAATATTTCAGGGGACGAGTCGTGGGGGCGTGAGTATCTCATTTTTTCGCCCGGCCATGAGACACGAACTGGGACGATCGGGCCATTTGTTTTAAGAATTGATCGTCCTGCGCTGGCCATCGACATTCTCGAGAAGAAGGACTCCGCGACGAGTGATGCGCACCGTGATGGAATACGTAAAACCTCCGTTTCAAGAAAAGTCGGTTTGTCCGCTTTACTATACCGAAAATTGTACATATCCTTGTCAATTGTACATATTCTTTTCCTTTTTTTTTTTGTTTCGAGACAGTTCGAACTACACGGTGCGAAGTCACCGACAAAGCCACCATACGTGCCCTCATCGTGCCGCGAGTCGGTGAATCCGGATTAGGACGAACTCGGAAAAAATCTGAGGGGCGATAATGTCGGGGGATCGACAGAAGAGACGAAAACTGGACCGGATATAGAGTTCCGTGGTGGGTCGACACTCACACACACACACACACACACACACACACACACACACACGCGCGCGCGCGCGCGCGCGCGCGCGCGCGCGCGCACATCGACAGACGCATATACGTGACGCGTG